ATCACTTATGGAGGAGGAGGCATACATCAGTGGTATTCCAGGAATGTGTCAAGGAGGGAAGGTATTGGCTAAAGTCATAGGTGATGCATTGGGGGCGGGTATGGGGAGGCATGTGCTCCCCCTGAGATTGTTGAGGGACCACCGCCCCAGTTGGCGATCAGCCGCTGGTGCCCCCCCAAACTCTGGAGGCACCAGTTGTCTATGGCTAAAGTTAGTGCTGCACCTTTTCAACTCTACCTTATGCTAGGACTGTGACAGGACAAAAACCCACTATTTTAATGGTTTTAACTTGAAACCAGTGGTTTTAACTTGAACCCAGAAATCAGGTAACGCTTAACTGTCTGCTGCTTGAGTCATAAGGATGCCTTTTTTCTCCTAGAAACCACCTCTCTGCTCTTAAATAATTTAAAAAATAATTAGTATTTAAATAATAATGACACCTGTTAATGATACTTTGTTCATTACAAGGTTTATTCTGGAACCAAAGTGAAAATCAGAAGGGCTTTGGAATCCTCAAAAGGGAAGAAAATACAATTCAGTCTATGTCTCTCTGATAATCTCGGGAATTTAAAGGCAATCCCTACTGTTTTCAGTTTTAAGAGCTATGAAGGAAGGAACTTCACCCACCTTCCGCTTGCCTTATTCTTAACTATACATTCAAATGCAAGGCCTAGTTCCTCAGATGAGGCCAAGCTATGCTTTTGGAGAATGCAGAGAAGACAAAGACATTCTTACACATACCCAATGCCTTGCTCTGCCACTGTGACCGCTAAGGTGTCCACATGGGGTTGACAGCACTCATCAGCCAGGATGGTCTTGATTATGTCCCATCCACCCATTCCCAACAGGGAAATGCACTGGAGAGGCTACTTCAGGCTCACTCCTAGCAGCTGCTCTGAAGCACATTGGAGACTGAGGTCATGACAGCAGCCATAGAGACATGCCCAAGAGCATATTTCCTCCTGTGGGGTAAATGGGGAAGGGCACACTCAACGGCATGCCTACCAGGTCACACTGCCACTGGTGTGCAGACAAGCTTTTAGACCAGGCTCTGGTTTTCTTCAAATTTGTAGGATATAATGGCCCAAGGAACTGTTCAGGCAGCTGGGCTCTTCACTCCATCTGGAAACTCCTCCTACCTTAGAAGACATTCAAATATATCTTCCTCACAGAGAACTGTTAAACAATGGCAGTGAAGTAATTTTTACTGGGCTGCTCAAACCAGCATTATGGCCCTGCCATGGAAAATGTCACAACAAGACCCAGAATTTGACCCATGATCTTTATATAAGTTAAACTTAATATTACAAAAATTAGGTACCTTGCAGACACAGTGTGACAGGGGGCAACTCTCAGGGCCAGGTCTCATGCCATCCCACCTACCTGTCTTTATGGGGCAGTCCACCCAGTCTCACCTACCACAACTTTGCTGTTCCCATAACTGGTGGAATAATGCAGGAGGCTGTCCATTCCCAGCCCCAATGCCAGCAGGCACTACCTGTGGCTCCAAACCTCTCCTACACTGCAGCCCTTGCCTCGCAGATGGCATCTCAGTTCCTAGCAACTCTGGCCCCACACTGGGCCCCTTAACCCTCCAGTCTGGACCCCAACTAGATCCCTTCCCATAAGGTAGCCTATTCCACCATCATTTTGGGCTGCTTAGCTCCCTGCATTCTTCCCTTCTCAGGTGTGCCCCTCCCCACCCAGGACCTTTGGTCACACAGGCCCTGGCCTCACCTCCAAGGCCAGTCAGAAACCCAGGCCCTTGTGGCAGTGTGACCTGGCAGGCATGCCGTTGAGTGTGCCCTTCCCCATTTACCCCACAGGAGGAAATATGCTCTTGGGCATGTCTCTATGGCTGCTGTCATGACCTCAGTCTCCAATGTTCCCATTCTATGGGCATCCTGCGTGGTGGGCCCCAGGCCCTTTTGACTTGTCTAGTTCTGGCCCCATCATTGACCAGTCGAGGGTGCCTCAAGTCAGGCTTCTGAGCAACTAGCTCACACTCTCTTACATGGGTCCTCCTTCTTGGGCCCTGCTAAGTGGTTATCCACCCGGTTGTGGGAGCTGGGGTTATTAAGGTGCCCCGACCCACCTTTCACCAGGGAGGCCACACATCCACGGCTGGGTGCAGTTTTAGGTCATGCCCAGGACCAAGAGCCTCCTGCTCTTACCTTCAAGATGTTCCAGCTGCAGCTCAGCCAAGTGATGTTTCTACCTGATCTGGCAGCAGAAAACTGCAGCCTTTATATCCCTTGTTCTAAAAATGGCTGCTGCCATCAGGCACCTGGTAGCTGCCTGACTCTGCCCTTAAAGTGGCAGGCACCCAAAGGTGTACTGCCAGACACAGGCTATCTATAATAAAGGACTCAAGTTTCATGGAAGGCTAAGGGACAAATTCAAAAGAAGTAGTAGCTGTTGATTGTAAAATTATATGAAAGCAGTGAAGTAGTGCACACGGTACTCTCTAACATTCAGATATGCGTTGTATGCTGCAGATGAAGGGTTTTAAACAAGCTGTGTGAATAAGTGGGAAATTATGTTAAAACAGCTCCTATCCCATTTTAACTTACATTCACACCATTCTCAGTCAGATCATGTAAAAAAGAAATCAACTTCCACTGTAGTCACACTTGCCAAATTCACACCAGACAGGCTTCTCATCTGTAGCATTCACGCATGAGCCATTATTATATACTATACTTACTAGGGCTTAAGCAGGTATGTGAGGTTAAAAATCTGAACCACTTACACTAAGTACAGACAGTCAAAAAGCCTGAGGCTTAATTGATTCAGTCTTCACAGGTTAGTCTAAACTGCGTAGATTAAACTGATAAGAAAATTAAACAGATATTCATTTTTTATTCTGGAAATGCGGCCACATGCCTGCAGTGGCTCAGGCTAGAAACGGGGGGACACTAGAGCACACCTCCCTGCTCAGCTGGATCAGACAGCTTGGGCCCAGGCTAGCCCACCGACCCTGCCAGGGGGAGGAACGCAAGGGAAGGTTTGTGGGGAAGGTACAAAGTATCCTGGGATACTGGGGGACCGTGCGCTAACTTGAATCTGGAGGGGATCTGGGCAGAAGTTCAATAAACTGATTTAAACCTAAATCAGCTAATGATGATACTACATCCATCCAGGTTTATCTTTAACTGGTTTTGGTGACATTGAGAGCAGTTTACACGCACTGAACTTCTGTTGTGTTACAGATTTAAGCCAGTTTCTAATCACTTATACTGGTTAATTTCTGTCTGTAGCCTTAAACATCAGATGATCTGTTCTAAACTCCCTAAGTCACAGGCCTGGTTTCAAATGGGAATATTTTCTGAGGTAAAATCTGATATGGTTCTAGCTACTAAAATGTGTGAGGCCTACATAAGGTCCACTTGAACATGCTTTATATTTTTACCCAAATTTTTATCCAAGACTAAGAAATTCTAATCAATAGTTCTTGGGTGTGAATTTCCTGGTAGAGAAGGCAGGGTTACCAATAAGAGTGTGGAGAGGATATTCTGTACTTCAGCTGTTGCATTAGGAGAGTTGTAAATATATACTGACATTTCTGAGCCCACTAGCTTACTTTGCAGGGGCAAGTGTGGGTACAGTGAAGGAAAGAATGAAAACAATAGTGTGAAGGTGAGAAAATAAAAAGCATACTTTTTGAAAGGCAAAGACCAATGAAACTGATAGAAAAGCAAATGGTAAAGGAAAACACATACTTGTACAGAAAATCCAACACTATTACTATAAAGCATGTACTCAGGAAAAGTCATCTCCAGCTAGGTACTTACAAGTAATATGAGTAGGAATATGCATTTCTTCTAAATATTGATGGCCAGTCAGATGAAGAAAATGTCCAAAAAGGGAAAAAAGGGGAAAAAACATAATTAGACTTATTTTGTTTCTCTGAAATGTATGCAAATATATGTGTCATCCCTTGTACTGAGCTGTTTCTTTTCTAAACCTTTCCTGAAAGGCTGACATAGCCAACAGGGTAAGAAGATAGATTTGGCATCAGGAAATGATGGATCAATTCCCAGCTTTGCTGTCAACTTGCTGTGCCACCTTGAGCAAGTCACTTCATCTTTCGTTGCCTCAATATTCCCATTTCAAGAATGCAGCTAATGAAAACTTACCCATCTTTGTAAAGCACTTTGAGATCTCTGGATGAGAAAGCCTTAGTGGAAGCTAAGTATTACGTCATAACAGTAAGTAACAGACAGTTGTACATCTTTTGACATCCTACCACATCTGAACAAACAGAGAACTGATTTACCAAGTCTCATCAAATTCTGAATTGGTGGTTGATAAGGACATGGCAAATGATTCATTATGGATTCTGGTAGAAACAAACATTTGATCTGTAGTGGAGATATACATGTTCCCATTCTACGTCACTACTTAATGACTGCTAAGCATTTCCTATAAAAGCCCTCAAAGAAGATTTAGCACATTTTGAATATTGAATTCTAAGGAAATATGTTTTGGCAAACATATGTTGCAGGTCATGGCGCTTTCTTGTTGGAAAACCTGTGCAAAGCCCCTTGTAGCAGGTCATTCCAAATCAGATATGGCACAATGTATTACAAGGTATTACACATTAACAAACATGACAAGTCAGATCATTGTAGGTAACAGGCACAGTCATGACAGAAGTGGAGCAATGACACAGAAGCTTCATCTTTGTAATTCTATAATTTTCTTTGTTGTAGGAACTATAAATACTGGGGTAGACTTTCAAAATGTAGGTGCACAATATTATGATTAACCTGTACACACAATTATTCCAGCTGTATATGGACACTTAGTAGTTGAGCACGTGAATGGTTAATTAGGAAAATCTGTATGCATAGTTATCTGATTTGTGTGCATAATAGCAGCAATTAGCACACACACATTGGGCATGCCCTCACATTTGCATTTGGCACTCCTGTCTTTTTTGTTGCAAATACGACCTACTTCATTTTCGCGTTCACTCACAATCTGCTGCCTATGAAGAAATTTCCTGAGGGGGAGAACAGCTGACTACAGATGTATAAAACAATTAAACTGAAACAACACATGTTTTGCCTGATTACTGGTCTTGTTACAAACTCAAAACTCAAGCCAGATTCTTCAAGGTTTCCCAAGCTTTTTAGTAACATTGGGTCCCCCAAAACACTCATAGTTTCAAGTTGAAATTGCATGGAATTCAGTGTTCTCTATCGTTTTATAGGATTCTGAATTAATTTCAACATACAAACAAAAAGTCAGGTGAAGATGTGGGAAGCGAAAACCTATGAAGACAAAACCCAAGTAAATATTCCAAAAGGAACGCTTTGGAACCGAAACTGCTCCATGACACACAGTGGGCATATCTACTATGGATTGGACTAATTAGTTCTGCAGTAAAGTGTCATCATCTAGACACGTGGTGCTATTAGGCTGCAGTAAACTAATTAACTACACCGTAAGATAGTACTGCCCAACGTGACAGGAGGCTGTCTCATGGCTGGTCTAACCATTGGCCCACCCACCTGTCTAGGGGAGTCCACCTACCTGCCTCACCTTGATGTAACAGAGAAGTTGTTTATAGGCGGGAAGCTACCCATTTACTGCCGGATGCCAAGGGCGTTAATACGCAGCTCTGTACCACTCCTACACCATGTCCCATGCTTTACAGATAGCATCCATTTCCACTATTACTAATGACATTATTGGGCCCCCAACTTGGTCTATGGCCCACTCAGGCCTCAGGGGTCTGTCAACATGCCTGGACCCCAGGACCCATTTAGTGGGCCTGGGTCATGTGCTTTTCTCTTAGGGTGTGCTCCCCTAGCCTTTCCCCTCCATAGGGTCACTCACAAGGCAGTGGGGACTGAGGCTTTCTGGCACCCCATACTTACCTTTCACTGGGGAGGCACAGGTGTGGCATTTCCTGGAGACTACCCGTCTTAGGCAGTCCCACCACACCATTTAACCCCAGCAGGGTGTAGTTTCAGGTCATGCCCCAGGACCAGGAACCTCCTCTCTCCCCATAGCCTCTTGCCATAGTTCCTACCTGACCTCCAAGTGTTCTAGGAGCAGCAGATCTCCAGCTGGTGATGTTACTCCAGCGGCATCCCTCCAGCAACTGCCAGCTCAGCTCTGAGTACTGTACCTGGGTTTATACTGAGGATGCCCAGCCCCATGCTCCAATTCAGGAGCCCTCTTGCGGTTATGTGACTGCCTCTTTAGGATGAACTGCACTTGCTAGCTGCTCCACAGCCTGCTCAAGCCTCTTAAAGTGGCAGCCACGCCAGGTGCCCTGCTACGCCTGACATAAGTAGTTATCTAGTTCACTGAAATGTACATGTAGACACTGACCAGGGCTGGCTGGGGCACAAGGATGATACAGTTTGAGAGTGCCTGCTGGCTATCCCTGCACTGTAGCACCCTTGTGCCCCAGCCAGCCCCTCTGCAGCACATTGAGCCTGGACTGGCAGGCTGACCCCTGAGGCCCTCTGCCAGCCACAGTTGCTCTGCCCTGGTTCAACACGCTACAGTCCTGGGTGCACATGCAAATATTTTGCCCTGGAACAATAAACTCCAACACAAATTGCACTGGAGTTTATTGAGTTGAATTAATATCATGTGTAGATTTGCCCAGTGTTATCAATTCTAATGATTTTTTGATAAATTTCACCATAGTCTGTATCTTCCCTTAAATCCTTGCCACTGAAATTGAGCAATTGCAAAAAAATCTCAGCTTTCATTAAAAAAAAGGAAGCCCCAAATTCAGCTCTGCCTTTAGATGGTTACATAGCACATACACAACTCAAAGTAGCTGTACAAGTGACTTTTTGGGCCAGGTATGCAAATATTAGGCCCCCTCTACATGTCACAGGTATTATGAAATTAACTGGTTAATTTTGCAATTAACTGAGATCGGCTATACATGCAAAGTAGCTATCATGCCATAAAAAGGTCCAACCAGCTAGAAAGTTAGACCTTGAAAATGTGTACTAAATTTATATCTGGTTACTATCCAGTTTTAATTTTCACAGTAGCAAGGTGCCCCCTGTAGCTGGGAGCCCTGTCAGCTGTGGGGACTTTCAGTCCTGGCAGCACCCAGCAAGTGCAGACTCTGGTTCCAGCAATAGTCCACAGCTGCTAGGACCCAGCGTCCTCCAGTTGAGCATGCTGGGTCCCAGCAGTACCCCATTGTGCCAGGACTGAGCATTCCACAGCTGTGGACACTGAGTCTTGGGAGCTGTGTAGTGAAGCCGTGATCTCCCAGCCCTGGAGGTGCATGCCGTGCCCTGGGGACTCAGAGACTACAGCTGCTGTGATGTCGCAGCTATGGGGACATACCGTGCACCCCCAAGGCTGGGAGATTGCAGCAGCTGGGATCTCTCAGCCACTAGGTGGGCTCCACATCCCCCTGAAGCTAGGAGACCACAGCTGCTGTAATCCCACTATGTACATGTGGCATTCCTATTCTCCTGGGGCAGGCAAGTAAATCTCACAAAAACAGGAAAGCCCTGTCATGTGAGGACATGTAAAGATGCCCATAAATGCTACACACCGTCTCTAAAAGGGAGTTGGACTTGGGCCTAAATGTTTAGTGCTCAGAGATGCAGATAAAGCTTGAATACTGGAACTATAAAGAGTCAAAACCCAGAAGGCAGATGCAAAGAGACCCCCTATTGTTTAGACCTAACTTGGCAAATTTTTGCTTGCTTGCAGTTGACAATTCTATATACAGCAATGGGGCTGACAAATCACTCTTCCCCTTTAAATGATGCTATAACAAATCACCAAAAATGAACCAAAGAGGGAGAAAATCTAAAAGTTCCAAAAATAAATAAATAAATAAAGACAAATGCTCAAATCCAAGGAGGTGCTTTTCATTTCTATCCATTTGCAGGTGATCTTCTGTGTGCCATTTCCTCAGTGTCCTCTTATCTCCTACTGAGGATGTCACCAGAACAGTTTTCTGTAAAGCCAAAAATAATGCAGTCTAGGATTTCCCTTGAATGATCCATTAGAGCTGACCCATTAACTAGCTAAATTCAGTTCTTGAACCACTATGACTAAATTTAATTGGATTTTGAGGTTTTTGAAAGGCTAAGTTCCTGATTTCTATTATAGTTTCATAGTTTCATAGATTTAGGGTCGGAAGGGACCTAGTAGATCTTCTAGCCCGACCCCCCGCCAGGGCGGGAGAACAACAAAACCCCAAAACAAGAAACGGGATTCAAATGAGTCCAGCCAGGTAGGCATCCAGCCTCTTCTTAAAGACCCCCAGGGTAGGGGCCAGCACCACTTCCCTTGGAAGTTGGTTCCAGCTCCTAGCCGCCCTAACTGTGAAGTAGTTTTTGCGGATGTCCAATCTATACCTC